TGGAGGCCATCGCAAGTATAGGTTGGTGGCCATCGCAAATAGGTTGGGAGGCCATCGCAAGTAGGTTGGAGGCCATCGGAAGTAGGTTGGAGGCCATACTATGGACCCCACCGCAAGTAGGTTGGAGGCCATCGCTACTATTACATTGTAGGCCATCGCTGCTATTAGGTTGGGGGCCATCGCTATTAGGTTGGAGGCCATCGCTATTAGGTTGGAGGCCATCGCAAGGAGGTTGGAGGCCATTGCTACTAGGTTGGAGGCCTTGGAGGCCCGCGTCATAAACAAATCAATCTTTCTAGGAACTGGAAGCCATTAGGTGGCCTGCAACGGTAACGACTGTTCCACCGACCCTCCGGACGCCGACCGGGTCGGTCCGGGGTCCGCGGGTGACCCGTTCGAGGCCTCGACCTCTCGGCCCAGCCAGCGAGGGACGCCTGGACAGGGGGGACGTCAGTTCGCGGGGAGGGGCTGTAGGGTTGATGAGAAAGAGCCTTGAATCGCCCCTTGATAGCTCATTTGAGCATTGCTTGGATGTGTATAAAGTATATTCATAAATCGACGTTCTTCTTTTCTTGTTTCCTGGATGTGATGTCATGTGCAGAATGCGCTTGTTGTCCATCGAACTCGACTCCCGCAGGTCGCAGGCGCGAGATGGCGACTCCATGTACGTGCAGGATTCCATGGCAGTCTCCGAGGCCCGGCCATGGCCGGTCTTGACGAGGTTTCCGGGCAGAACTAAACATCGCAGTGACCCATGTAGGTCATGAAGCTCCAACAAAAAGGGGCAAAGGGTTGGGAATTTGTGGCTATCCATGAAAGAAAGGACGTGCTAGCAACACATGATATTTCATGCCTAGTACTTTTTTTGTAGGTATTTAAAGGCTTACGCCTAACAGCCGGGCGCCGGCCCACTTGGGTCTGTGTAGGGCTGGGTCGGGTGCACGTTAAGCTATCGGGGGCGTACTGGGCCCTGGGTGGTGCCAAGGTGGGAAACTGGTCCGCGTCGGAGACGGGGGCCCTATATTGAGCAAAGTTAAGCTATCTGGTGCGCATCTTGGCCCTAGGTTGGGCCAAGTTGGGCCCATGTGGTCTATGTTGGGCACATCTTGGGCCCATGTTGAGCCTATGTTGAGCCTATGTTGGCCTATGTTAGGCCTATGTTGGCCTATGTTGGGCCTATGTTGGCCCCATGTTGAGCCATCTTGGAGGCTATGTTGGGCATATGTTGGGGATATGTTGGCTATCTTGGGCCTATGTTGAGGATATGTTAGACAATTTATGTCGTCTGGAGGGCCTCTACCCACAAAATGTCGATTAAGCCTGTCCGCCCGGCGCGCATTACCAACACCACCCTTGAAAAACACAGCATTTTTGCATTTCTCCGTTTTCCCCGGGTCGTACTTCGATATGCGCAATAAACCCTGTAAAACACAGTGTTTTTTATACCTCCCACACACGATACACTGTAAATTACAGGGGCTTCAGTGACCCGGTGGTCCCCCCGTTTTGGTGACGAGGGTCGGCGGTTGGGGGGGCGAGCGTCTATAACCTTCGGTTACCACCGAAGGCCCTCCGGGCATGCCACGGGCGTCCTGGCCGGCGCCCGGATTTACCAGGCTACCGCCTGCAGCCGCCGACCCCCAAGGGATAGAACCTTAGCGCTAGCCTTGCTCTATGTTAGCCTTAGCCTTAAGCCTTAGCCTCAGCCTTAAGAGTGCAGACCCAACCCAGCACCACCAAAGCAGGTACCCAAAAAGTCGACTTTTTGGGTACCTCCCAGATTTACCATCGGACTCTTGCATGAACCCCGATCATTGCCCAAGAATTTAGACCCAACCCTTCACCACCAAAGCGGGTACCCAAAAAGTCGACTTTTTGGGTACCTCCCAGGTTTACCAATTTAGACCCAACCCAGCACCACCAAAGCAGGTACCCAAAAAGACAAAGCCTAGAGCATTCCTAGGAAAATGCCAGAAAAGCCTTTGAAAATTTCATAAACCAACAGAAAACGTGACAAAATCTACGAAAAAGCAAGGGCATTGGCCGGGACCATGCCGCGACCAGCCCGGGATTCGAGCCCAGGACCATTTTGGACCGTGCTTATTTTCCCGCGCGGGTCGAGAGGGTGCCCCAAGATGTAAATCAATTGGGATGGCAGATTCTTGGACAATCCAGGTCGCTTTCCTCGTCACTGCAACAAGGGTCCGGAGGGGTAGGGGAGGTAAGGTCTAGGTCTAGGTCTAAGGCTAAGGACTAGGTCTAAGGCTAAGGACTAAGGCTAAGGCTAAGGCTTAAGGCTAAGGCTAACATCGACAGTCACGCCTCACCCCACGGTGTGGGGTCGGCGGATTTTATGCTACTATTTAGCAGGTACCACTACCACTACTACTACTACTACTACTAGTACTACTACTACTACTACTACTACGACCACCACCACCACCACGACCACGACCACGACCACTACCACGACGACGACGGCGACTACTACTACTACTACTACCACTACTACCACTACCACCACCACTACCACTACCACTACCCTACCACTACCACTACCACTACCACCACCACCACCACCACTACTCCTACTACTACTCCTACTGCTACTGCGACCGCGACTGCCACTGCCACTGCTACTCGCTTCGTGCTGCTCCACAGCGTTCTCACCAACTCATGTGCAGCTTTGGGGCACGGATTTCTGTTCCAGACTCTGACCAGGCAGGGAATGGACGTACGGTGTACAGTATAAACGCATCAAAACTTTGACAACGCACCTAACATCTCGGTTCCTGAAGCTCTATAGGGCTTGAGGTCGGGTCACAACCAACGAACTTTGGATCACATCTCCCAAGAAGCAGGGAAACACACAAATTGTGTGCTTGGAAGGCTAGTCTTCTCTGCAGGTAGTTGGCTGCCCACTTCCATGTTTGTGGGAGCAGGCATTTCAGTGGTAGGACTCTCCATTGGAGCACCCTTTCGCTTGGCAGGCAGTCAAGCGAATTCAACAATGCACTGCGGAGATACGGAAGGAGGCCACTGAGGTTTTGCGGTTCGAAAAAGTGAGGTTGTACTGCAAACATATTGTGCATCCCGGACGATTCTGTTCATTGTGGAGCAGCCAAGTCTGCTTTGTTGTGGGTTTTGTTTCCCATCTCTACTCTCCATCAGGTCGCTCATCAGGTCGCTTCAAACATGGCTTTGATGTTCCCTGCTTGGTTGAGCTTCCAACTTCCGGGGGTTGAAAGAAGCGGAGAAGCTGAACTGGGAGACGAGCCCGTTGGGAGACATGAGTGACATGAACTTGCTGGAGTTGGTTTTCTCTGGTTTTTTGGCCCCACACATCTACTTCTTTGGGAGATCCCCCTGGTGAAGGGGCCCAAACTGGGACCATGGTGGCTTGCAGCACACGACGCAGAAGGGGGTGTTTTTCGAAGCCTGAGGATCAGAAGTGTTCATGTGCCACAAAAAATGCCGCAGTCTTCGGGACAAATCAAACACCGAGGGAACATCAGAATTGGTCGGTCCTCCGGTCCTCCCCCACTCCGTGGCCTCCGCACTCTCAGACCCACCTGTCACCTTCGACCTCCTCCAGCTCCCGGAAGAAGGCCGAGTTCGGAGTGAACACGACGCCGGTGTTCTTATGTTTCGCTCCTGGAAGGTGGACCACGGTGGGTGTGCCATGGATTCCCGAGTTCTTGGGGTTTTGGGGTGTGACACTTGTGGGACGGTCGTTTTTCAGCTGAGAAGGTGCGGTGAGGGGGTTGACCATGGTGGACCTGTGGAAGAAGAACTCAGAAGACCGCCAACAGTGGCCAACAGTCGCCGTGTGCGCCTACAAAGCAACTACTGCTGCCGATGTGGCTGTCAGTAACGCTCAGCTTGTCTTGCGACATTGATTATGTCCCAAACCACCCTGACGCGTGGCATCATCAGCAGTACGCATTCAGTAGCTCGTAAAACTCGATTTCGCATACCCGCCCGATAGTGGGGTGGGGGGTTGTTGTTGTTGTTGTTGCTGTTGTTGTTGTTGTTGTTGTTGTTGTCGTGTTTGTTGTCGTGTTTGTTGTCGTGTTTGTTGTCGTGTTTGTTGTCGTTGTTGTTGTTGTTGTTGTTGTTGTTGTTGTTGTTGTTTGGAACAAAACCCCCAAACAGCAACAACAAACAACCAGACAAACCAACCAACCAAACATAACCAACAACAACAACAACAACAACAACAACAACAACAACAACAACAACA